ACACGTGGCAAGATAGGTATTCAATTACGTAATAGTTAAATAGTTGAATATACAAGCAAGTGTCAAACATATAATGGTTACAAATAATAAATTACCAAACTTTCTCATAACCCTAACAAGAAAGCAAATAATTTGTATTCCCGATACCAATTTCCTAACAAATATCAGCAGTAGCGCAACTAAGCCTTTAAAAGTTATATTGCAGATAGCACTTTGTCCCCGTTCCGTTGCATGTATTGAATTACATTAAAATAACGGTATTTTATATACCACTAGCCAGGTTGTCCGTTCTGCACTATGGGATCATCTAATCGTTCAAACTTAATAATATTACCAACTTACGCGTGATTCGTCAGGCCGTTGAATATTTTCCCCCTCTTCACACTTCTTATCACCCCTACAACAAGAAACATTTTTTGCGCTTCAGTTCCCTTATAGGTCAAGAATTAACTGTTAATCGTTCAGGTATTGTTTTGGGTACATTCCCAGTCTTGGCCATGCCAGTAGTTAGCGGTGATTCCAACAAATAGTAAACAAGAGCAGTTGTTTCGAATTTTACAACCATAAACGATTTGCAGACATGTTCTATAATTCTTTCAGTCACGAATCTTCAAGGATGAAAAAAAAAGATAATATTACTGGTATTTGAAATAATAACCAACAACAGATAAAGCTGTTGTTTTATCTCTTATAAGCCTGTTAATATTTTATCTACTTATTGCATTGGTGTTTCGCGACCAGAATATAAGTCTGTTACTATGCAAGAAAACAGCCTTTTCTTTTATTAGAAACAAAGAAAAAGAAAATTATGAACACAATATGCATAATTACACCTAGCATGACTGACTTTCCACAAACATTAAGTGTTAAATAACAGTAATATGAACATTGTTCATATACAATCGCATGTATAGTAAATGAAAGAGGTGAAATAACCCTTAGCAATATGGCTGTCATTCTTTTCGTCCGCTTACCCATCAGAGTTTTATGTAGCAGCTACAAACAAACACCACTGGTACTCTGGTCACGAGCTCAGCCCCTTAGTTTAAGTCACTGTAACGTTTGTCAGGTTGGCTTGGTGTCGAGGAAAGACGGTGTGCAAACAGCAGCACTAAAACATTGCGTGTGATGATATAAGTAACTTTTCCATCTTCTTACTATAATGGGCCCCCCAGTGGCATGTCTGCGGACTTATAACGCTAGAAACTGGGTTTCGATACCCGTAGTGGGCAAATTACAGATAGCCCATTGTGTAGCTTTGTGCTTAACTTCAAACAAATACTATAATGGGCGTAGCGTGTATATCAGTATGTATGTATGTAACCAAAACTCCTGCACCATCTATTGAAAGTCACCACAAACAAAAATCCACCAAAAATTTCACTCTTTGGGTATTCAAGATTGAGACAATTAGAAACATAACTGTGGTGATATGTGCAACAACCATTTCTATATAATAGAACAATTTTGAATAAAAATACTTTCCTCACAACAAGAACACGATTTAAGAAATAAACTGAAGTAGATCCTACGACAGGTAAGACTGTTTAGGGTATTTGCGCGGGAACAGGGTTACCAACCGTCCTTAAATTTATGAACATGCAATAAAAAAATCACATTTTAGTACTTTTCGTAAATAGCAAGTTATTTTCGTGATTTTAGTTCAAAGTAAAAGACGGCATGTTTTCCATTGTTCAGCAGCTTACCCAGTTAACTTCAACGACAATGTTTCGTCATTTTAACAAAGTTCCTGTTTTCTATTATTGCCTGTCCTTAAGCACTTCAACAGTAAGAAACTGTTACGTAATCTCTGCTTTCTGAGCATAGAACACGGAGATGAGGGGAAGCAAAGACGTATAACAATAATATGAAAAGACCTAAAGAAATTTAAGTACCCAAAAATATTCTATTTTAATAATGTATTTTACTGTTTCTTTTTTTAATGATGTTAGTTTTAAAAAAGGCCACTGTTTGTTTGTATCTAAGTGTTACGTATTACAATTTCGAATGGTCTGAAACCGAACTAAATGATAATTTAAATTTAGTAGTTAAATAAATGTTGAAATATCTCCAGTTTATCATATTTACCAACAAGATTGATACACACAGTTTTCTTTTTTCTTAATACAAATATATTTTAATACACATACAATAATACACTTTACAATAACAATTATTACAAACAATGATTTATGTACAAATGTTTTACAAACTTACAAGCAATATAAAGTCTTCT